TTACTGACTGTGATGCAACACAGTGTGTGATAGGTTGATGGTTTATAACGGTTATAACTCACAGTTTGTGAGAGTCATGCAGGTTGTTACCGACTCTTATTCTAAATAGTGTGTGAGAGTCATTTTGGTTGTTACTGACTGTTACGTCACAGTGTGTGACACTTATGTTGGTTGTTACTGAATGTTATACTACACAGTGTGTGAGAGTCATGTTGGTTGTTACTGCTTTACCACACAGTGTGTGAGAGTCATGCTGGTTGTTACTGTTATACCACAGTTTGTGAGAGTCATGCTGGTTGTTACTGTTATACCACACAGTGTGTGAGAGTCATGCTGGTTGATACTGTTATACCACACATTGTGTGATAGTCATGTAGGTTGTTACTGTTATACCACACAATGTGTGAGAGTCATGTAGGTTGTTACTGCTATACCACACAGTGTGTGAGAGTCATGTTGGTTGCTACTGTTATTCCACACAGTGTGTGAGTCATGTAGGTTTTTTACTTTTATACCACAGAGTGTGTGCGAGAGTCATGTAAGTTGTTACTTCTGTACCACACAGTGTTTGAGAGTCATGCTGTTTGATACTGTTATACCACACAGTGTTTGAGAGTCATGTTGGTTGTTACTGTTATACCACACAGTGTTTGAGTCATGCTGGTTGATACTGTTATACTACAGAGTGTTTGATAGTCATGCTGGTTGATACTGTTATACCACACAGTGTTTGAGAGTCATGCTGGTTGTTACTGTTATACCACTCAGTGTTTGAGAGTCATGCTGGTTGATACTGTTATACCACACAGTGTTTGAGAGTCATGCTGGTTGTTACTGTTATTCCACATAGTGTTTGAGAGTCATGCTGGTTGATACAGTTATACCACACAGTGTTTGAGAGTCATGCAGGTTGATACTGTTGTACCACACAGTGCTTGAGAGTCATGCTGGTTGATACTGTTATACCAATCAGTGTGTGGAAGTCGTGTAGGTTGTTACTGTTATATCACAAAGTGTGTGAGAGTCATGTTGATTGTTACTGACTGTTATACCACACGCTGTGTGAGAGTCATTTAGGATGTTAATTACTGTTATGCCACACGTTTAGTGCGAGTCATATAGGTTGCTACTGACTGTTATATCACACAGTGTGTGATGGTGTGATTTTGAAAGAGTCTTATACCCCACAGTGTGTGAGAGTCATGCAGTTTGTTCCTGACTGTTATACCACACAATGTGTGAGAGCCATATTTGTTGTTACTGACTGTTATACCACACAGTGTGTGATAGTTAGGTTGATTGCTAATGACTGTTATACCACACAGTGTGTGAGAGTCAATCAGGTTGTTACTGACTGTTATACCACACAGTATATGAGAGTCATGTATGTTGTTACTGGCTGTTATGCCAAAGACATAGCAGGTGATGACATTCAACTCTGCTCTAAGATTTTAAATGATTTGTTAATGGCTAATGGGATCACTCCCATTACTATCCCAGATAATGTTAAGGTTTTTATGGCCCAGCCTTCTCATAACAAGAAGCATGTGCCTTACTCTACTTCTACAAATAAACCTAATTCATCCCTTGTTCAGGGATCACCCGCCTCGCATACCCAGGTTGTCAACTCCCCTCAACCCGTTGAGTCAATACCTGTCCCTAACGATGCCCCAGAGATTGGTGCTTACTCTTCCGCTATTGCAGCTGATCCTGCTGAACAGGAACTTTCTCTGGGTCATTCACCTGGCCTACCAAATTTTCCCTTGGAGCCTCCACAGTCTCCCATTAACTCTCACGAGCCTCTGCTTCCTGAAACTGGGAATATCACTCCTCAGTTTTCTGATGATGACTCTAATGACTCTAATGATTCTGTTAATATTACCAATTCTAGTGAGGATGGTGACATTTTTAATACACAAGCAACTACTCAGAACTTCCCTCCTCCCCTTGACGAGTCCAGCAGGGATAGTGTGGATACCAAACATGACATTACTTGCAGGCGTTCAGACCGCAGTACACGTGCAAAGTGCAAGAAATAATGGGGATTACAATTTTCCAACTTAAATCGTATATTGGTCCTCATCCAGGGACACCAGATATAGTCCTGACAAACAGAGACTGTGACATCTTTCACTGTCGTATATCTCCTGGTGGAAACGTAGGATCTGACCATATCCCTGTTATAATGCAACTACAAACTTCTCCATTTAGAATGCCTGTGCCTCCTAAACCCAATCTTAACACCCTAGGATTTGACCCCTTCAGGGCATTTCTGGGTGACGATGAAATTGTGTCGCTGGAAAATCTACCTTCCACTGCAATTGACGACGCGATCAGGTCCCTTCATGATCTAATAATTGATACTACTAATGCAACTTGCCAATTAGCTTCCACAAAAATCTACCAACAACATAAACCTACTAGAAAAATTAGAGACGCTTTGAGAAATTATCAAACAGAATGTCGAAGGCATCTTCAAACGCGACAACCACCAGTAGCTACATTGCACAGACTGAGGCAAGAATTAATTAACACGATTAGTCATCACAAACGTGACTTATGGAAATTGCTAGTTCTCCAAGCTAATCAGTATAAACGTGAGCCAGCAAAATTTTGGAGTAAGATCCGACAACTTTTAGGGGCAAAGCACAAGGCTCCTAACTACCTAATTCATACCTTCACTGATGAGGATGATGAAGATGTTGAGATTAAACTTGATGATCCACAGGACCAGGCTAATTTAATGGGTGATGTATGGGAGAAAATTCTCTCCCACAATAACAGTCGTGGATTTAACAATGATCACTATCAGTTGGTAAATAAATGGATAGATGAGAACTTAGATGATCTACAACCACTACCTTCCATCGATACTTCAACTCTTGAAGATGACCACCCTCTTACTAGACCTATTACATTACTTGAGATGAGTCAAGTTATTGGAAGAATGCGAAATAGAGCCCCTGGCCTCTCTGGAATAACAATGAAACAAATAAAGTTTCTACCCAGAAATTGTAAACAGTCTTTGGTTAATATCTTTAATGCCATCTTGGCCTCAGGACATTTTCCAGTTTTATTAAGACTGCTAGGATGATCTTTCTTGCTAAGCCCAATAAAGACATCCATCAACCAGGGAACTATAGACCTAGATCTCTACTTGAAGTCACTGGAAAAGTTCTTGAGAAGATCATTTCCAACAGACTGAACTATTATATGGAGTTTAATCACCTTTTTACTGAAAAACAGTTTGGCTTTAGAACACATAGAGGTTCCCATCATGCAACAAATATTATTTTCGATACTGTAGCAAGTCTAAAACATCAGGGCAATCTTGCCTTAATTGCCACCAGAGATGTTCATAAAGCTTTTGATAGCTTATGGCATGATGGTCTTATATACAAACTTATTGACCTACCAGACCATAACTGGACCTTTCTTAGATTAATATATAACTTCTTAACTCAAAGAAAAATCATTCCCAGATTTCACGGCAGGTCGACAGAGCCTTTTTTACAGACAGCTGGTGTCCCACAAGGGACACCGATTCTATTCAACATTTATATGAATGATCTTCCTCAACCAGAGTTTAATGATACAATTATAACCAATTTGCAGATGATGTTATCCATGTCGTCTCATCAACTCCGGTAACAGGAAAATACAACTATGAGAGAGTCATAGAAAAAATGAATATTGCACTTCGTCGAACATCTAATTGGGAAAAGAAATGGAGAATTACGACTAACTCTGACAAAGTCCTTGTTAGCACGATAGGATGTTTTGCATCAACCATCGAAGTTAAGGGAGGTATCTCCATCAAAGGTACACCTGTAGCCATTAGAAATCCTAACAAGATCTTGGGATATGAAATAGACAGGCTGCTCCACTCAACATCTCATGTAAATAAAAAGATCAACATAGCCAAAGCCGGTCTTAACAGTCTCTTTAGATTTAATCAAGCTCCTCCACATGTCAAAAAACATCTGTATAAAATGATAATAAGACGTATACTCGGATACCCATGTGTCCTAATGTCATTAACAACAAAGACCAACATGCTACGGTTGCAACGGGTCCAGAATAGAGCTCTCCGCTTTATTACGGGTACCAGGAGGAGAGACAGAGTTAAAATGGCCGATTTACACTTACAACATGATATTACTGTCTTAAATGTACGCCTTGACACCCTGAAGAAGAAACAACTCTATGCAATGCAAGAACTCTACATGCCAGATAGAGAACTCCCTCTCCAAGTTGAAAATACCACTGATTCTATCATTAATACTCCTCACAGGACCCAAAGAATGACTCTCCCACAGAGGGTGCGTTGCGTCATCCATAAAGACGATTACCATCGACCAATGATCTTGAGCAACCTCCCTGCAGATGAAGATGATTGGGTAACACCAGAACCCTTCTATGTCTTCTAAGAAAATCATCGCCCCCAATTAGGGAGATATCTTGTATAACATTCTACTGTTAAAATTATGCTACATTTACTATGGCGGGACACCACCCTGTAAGAAGCTAATGTGTCAAGCAATTCTTTATGAACTGTCGAGAAAATTATTGCCTTCATTGTCGTTTAAATATTCGTTGTGCAATCGAAAAAAAATGAAACTTGTGTATTTACTACCCATTCAGTCATGTACTTATATATCTGTTATATCTATGTGACTCTGATGGGTTAGTATTATCCCCCTTCAAGAATATTTTATTATTCCACATACACTTTTTAAATTACACCGAAGTGGTTGGGCCACTTACCTTTTGTAATAAAGTTGGTAGAATTACCGACAATATGTAAAGTAAAAGGACACAAGTGCAACTAATGTGGCATTTATTGTGGCAACGTTTCGCTCTCCAGGAGCTTTATCAAGCCATTACAAACAATACATGGACACAGAGGGTATATAAAGGCTCAGAGTGAGGTGAATACTAGTGAGGTACCATTTCGATGTTCACTAGTGGTGGTAGTAGTAGTAGTAGTAGTGGTAGTGACAAAAGTAATACAATATGGTAGAGCAGTTAATTCGTACATGAGTAAAAGGATATAAAAGCTATTACTTGGGTAACATAAAAATAGGTTGGACAAATATAAACTGGAATGAGGCAGCTTGTTTCAGTGTTCACTCTCTGTGCTTTGTGTAGTATAACAGGAGAGACTATGTGATGGCAGGGTTTACTGTTTTCAGGAGGATTCTTGCTAAGACTTCGGAGATGGTGAAGCTGCCGTTGTTTTGTTTAATTGTATTCGAAACAGCGATCAGTGCTGATTCAAGGCACTTGCGTGTGCGGAAATTAGTTTCTTTTATCACTAATTGGGCGTCTCTGAATTTCATAAGATGATTGGTGGAATTTCGGTGTTGTACACAGGCGTTGTTTAAGTTGTCGTTCCTACATGCGTATATGTGTTCATTGAGGCGGGTGTCGAGGTTTCTTGCTGTTTCACCTACGTAGATCTTGTCACAGCCTCCACAGGGTATAGTGTAAACTCCTGCGTTGACTGGTTCGTGGTGCTTGGGTTTTGTCCTGGTTAGATCCTTTATTGAAGTGGTAGAAGCGATGGCGACTCTGGTGTTAGCTTGTGAAAGTACTTTTGAGACGTTTAGTGCAACCTGGCTGTTGGGAAGAATTATAACTTTGTTGGGAGCGGTGTTGATGTGTGGAGAATTGATGATCTGAAGAGCTCCGTAACAAGAAACTAAGCAGTTTGGATGTGACTTCCCTCTTCACAAAAGTACCTACCAAAAAAGCCATCGAGGTTCTACGACGTAAAGTCAACCAGGACCTTAATCTTCCTTTACCTCCCGGAGATTTTGTTGACTTGATTGAACTCTGTGTTAACTTCAACTGTTTTTCCTTCAATAACAAGCTCTACAAACAAACCTACGGCATGGGAATGGGGTCCCCAATAAGTGCCGTCCTAGCCAACTTATACATGGAACACCTAGAGTCCGAACACTTCGCCAACATCATCCCTTCAAGCGTCACTTGGTTACGTTACGTGGACGATGTCCTCGTAATAACTCCAAAACGTTTTGATGTACGGGATCTTCAGGCAAGGCTCAACGCAGTTGAACCAGCGATTCAGTTTACACTAGAAGAAGAGTCCAATGACAAGCTACCTTTCCTCGACGTCCTCATTCACAAAGTAGACAACAACCTAAGATTTCAAGTTTATCGGAAACCCACCAATAAAAATGATCTCACACACTTCTATTCCAGTCAAGATACCAAGACCAAAAGAGGCATCATCATCGGGTTTTTCCTAAGAGCATACCGAATTTGTAGTCCTGAGTTTCTTGACGAGGAATGTACTTACATTCACCAAACATTCACTGAGTTACAATTTCCTTCTTTTTTCATCAAAGACTGCAAGGAAAGAGCTCTTCAGATCATCAATTCTCCACACATCAACACCGCTCCCAACAAAGTTATAATTCTTCCCAACAGCCAGGTTGCACTAAACGTCTCAAAAGTACTTTCACAAGCTAACACCAGAGTCGCCATCGTTTCTACTACTTCAATAAAGGATCTAACCAGGACAAAACCCAAGCACCACGAACCAGTCAACGCAGGAGTTTACACTATACCCTGTGGAGGCTGTGACAAGATCTACGTAGGTGAAACAGCAAGAAACCTCGACACCCGCCTCAATGAACACATATACGCATGTAGGAACGACAACTTAAACAACGCCTGTGTACAACACCGAAATTCCACCAATCATCTTATGAAATTCAGAGACGCCCAATTAGTGATAAAAGAAACTAATTTCCGCACACGCAAGTGCCTTGAATCAGCACTGATCGCTGTTTCGAATACAATTAAACAAAACAACGGCAGCTTCACCATCTCCGAAGTCTTAGCAAGAATCCTCCTGAAAACAGTAAACCCTGCCATCACATAGTCTCTCCTGTTATACTACACAAAGCACAGAGAGTGAACACTGAAACAAGCTGCCTCATTCCAGTTTATATTTGTCCAACCTATTTTTATGTTACCCAAGTAATAGCTTTTATATCCTTTTACTCATGTACGAATTAATTGCTCTACCATATTGTATTACTTTTGTCACTACCACTACTACTACTACTACTACCACCACTACTGAACATCGAAATGGTACCTCACTAGTATTCACCTCACTCTGAGCCTTTATATACCCTCTGTGTCCATGTATTGTTTGTAATGGCTTGATAAAGCTCCTGGAGAGCGAAACGTTGCCACAATAAATGCCACATTAGTTGCACTTGTGTCCTTTTACTTTACACTTACCTTTTATATCCTACCTCTCTCCCCCTTCCCCCCTTTTTCCAATATTTCTATCCTTACCCATCCTTCTTCCTTACCCATCTTACCAAAGCTCTGGTCATAAGAAGAATACCAAACAGTGTTTGAGAGTCATGTCGGATGTTACTGTTATACCACACAGTGTGTGACAGTTATGTTGGTTGTTACTGAATGTTATACCACAGTGTGTGAGAGACATGTTGGTTGTTACTGTTCCACCACTCAGTATGTGGGAGCCATGTAGGTTATTACTGTTTTACCACACAGTGTGTGAGAGTGATGTATGCTCTTATTGACTGCTATAACAAACAGTGTGTGAGAATTATGTTGGTTGTTACTGACTGTTATTCCACAGACTGGGAAGGAAGGGCACGCTTTCATTCTCGTATTTACTCGGTGGAGTCTCATGCTTCATATCCGGATTGATCCCTCAAGGTAAATTGTGCGAGTTTATGGTAGATTCCATGCCCACAATCTCTTCCATAATTCCCATGCCCTACATTCACTTTCATACCCATGCCAACACTCACTTCTACACCCTATACCCACACTCACTTCTACACCCTATACCCACACTCACTTCCATACACCCATGCCCACACTCATTTCTACTCACCCATGCCTACACTCACTTCTACACATTCATGCCTACACTCACTTCTACACCCCATGCCCACACACACTTCCACACACCCATGCCCACACTCAGGCAGATGAGCGAGTTAAAGATGCAACATTTACTCAGGTGGTAAACCACTAATATTTAATGTAGGTTTTTAACCTGTATATTCGTGTTTAGTGTGGAAATAAAAAACAAGTTACCAAACAACAATGGCATAAGTCGACGTTTTGGTCCGTCCTGAACCTCTGTCAAATTGCAACAAGTGACAATGGTTCATGACGAACCTTTGTAATTGGTTATACAAAATGACATCAGACTGTCCCCTAATTCTGGGTTATTTTGTTAATGGTATTATCAGTTGGAAAAAAAAAGTTAAGCACCAGATAATAACTCCAATAAATTTCCATCTTTTACTTGGCTCCCTAAATGAAATTTTATTTTTCATTTCAATAAGATAGATTTGAAGGTAATAATACGCTTGTCATTAATATTTTTATTGTGAAAATTCTTCGGTAAAATGGTATCTGTCAGCTTCCTTAGCCCACTCAGCCCTCTGAGGGACTTATCCCTCACAAAGGGCTAGTGGACTGTAATTTGTCCAACAACAACTTCATTAGAACAAGATGTATCAGAGATCATCATGCATGACCTCTCATTGCTAGAATTCCTGAGTAACTACACAATGAGGGTTAAACCAGAGTAATTATTCTTTCTCCATAGACGGAAAATTAAAGGAAAACCTGCACCCCACTTAGTCTACAAGTTATTGACATTATAACTATTAGCCTAAAACTAAATGACAAGGAATCGGTCCTCTTGTGTTATTCCATGTTGCAATATGTATCAAGGAAGGTATATGAAGCTGAGCTCAGCATTCTCTTTGTGCGTAAGATGAACGAGGGTGCTAAGCAGGGCGGTGGGGCAGATTGCTTCAAGGAACGATCAAAACAATTGTGTCACAGAGAACATTGCTGCCTTATCGCTGAACGACAAAGAGACAGTAGTGACCAGAGCATTTTTGACACTTTTTCATTCTGACAATCTCAGGAAACTAGGAAAGTTAGACTAAACAAACCATACCACAGACAGGGATAGAGCCAGCGATCAGAGAGTCTTAAAACTCCAGACCGACACTTTAGCCACTGGACCAGCTGGCTACAATAAGATTCATCCAACTGGGCTAGCTGGCCCAGTGGCTAACGCGTCGGTCTGGTGTTTTATGACTCTCTGATATCGGGTTCTAACCCCTCCCGTGGTATGGTTTGTTTGTATTCATGTCATTACGGTTTCATGAGTCAGGTTAAAGTCAGACTAGTTCCCTCATATGAGTCAGAAAATTCTCAGTAGAACTAGCTACGCAATGTTTATTGGATCTCTGTGTGACTTTCTTGACTCAACTCATAAACGAGAGTGATAGTGATGACAATAGTGAAATGATGTAATTAGGAAATAACATTTTCGTAGTGTTGTTTTGAACATTAATGCAACATTCCCCGAGACACTTCCTTAGTCAACTATCAAGACACCGATATTGGCAATTGGCCTCATGTCACATTAATGACAAAGGATTCCAGCTATAAGTCAGGAAGGTTTTATTCCCTTTTCGTTGGCCCCAGAACACTGTAGTGTTTAGGCTAATATCAGAAGACTATTCCCCACCTTAAAGACCATCATTTGAGTGTAAAGACCAAAACACCAGTGAGTATCCTTCAGCATCACATGTAATCAATGTGAAAGTCAAAATTATAAGCTCCTTTTGAGCAAATTAAATGAATTTATTCACTCATCAACAGCCAATGAGGACACTACTACAGCAAATACAAAGGCGATACCAGGAAGAGGCTGCTGGAAATCGTGCTGTTAAATGATAAATAAATAAATAAATATCTTTATTTACTAAAAGTACGTGTGCAAGGTATGCAGACCATAGCTGACATCAATAATATACTACTATAGAGAAAACCGTTTTTTATGCAGAGCATTTCAAGCAAATTATGCCAATTTTGTTGTAATGGGCGACCCACCAGTCCGATAACACCCAGGTTCCCATTTTACTGACAGGCACATTGACCATTTCGCTCTCGGGCTGAGTGGTTGTGCTGCACAGAAGCTCCTGCTTTCACTTTTGCGCAACTTCTTATTTTCTCCAAGATGGCGGCCAGTTGCCGCAGGAGGAGTAACACTGTGTGTGTTGACTTAGTCAAAGAAGCAATTTACCCGACGAATGCCTCTGTTTTACTGCCGACGATCGTCAGGGATACGTTCTGCATTGACATCGATGAGCTATATGGGATTGCTCTTAATGGATCTTCAAGGATTTTCATAAAGTTCTGCACAGTGGAGGCTTACAAAAGGACGGTGACTCAATATCAGGAGAGGTGTATCACCGTATCATCTGGGCTGGAGGTACGCCTGCGGGATGCCTCCAAATACTACACCTGGGTGAGAATTCGAAATGTTCCTTTTGAAGCGGACGATATGGATATTCGTGAAACATTTCGATGCTATGGTGAGGTGCATGCTGTGTCTTTAGGACAATGGATGGATGGAATCTATGCGGGGCTTCAAGCAGGATGTTACACCATCATGATGACATTGAGAAGACCTATTCCCTCTTATGTAGTCCAGGAGGATTTTAGGACACAGGTGTTTGTGACCTATCCTGGACAACGTAAGACGTGTCGACTGTGTGGTGCTTTTGACCACATGGCGGCCGGGTGTGGAAAGGCAGCAGCTCCACGGTCATCGGAAATGCCAATAGTCACGGAGTCTCTGGTGGCATCTTCGTCTGCTGCTGTGGATGCAGCAGGCAAAAGAAATTTGACGGACAAAGTGGACGGTGTGGAGGAGCATTGCGTGACGGTACCAGAAGCTTCGGACGCTCCCCCAAAGGAAGAACCTGGAGTTGAGCAGCAGCCTGTGGAGGTGGGGAGGCTGGTGAACTACAGGATTTATCTGAACCCCTGCGGGAGATCATTAAATCTTTCCTGGACGTGCCAGTGGAGGAGATCCCCCTTTGTAGATGGAGTACTTCTGATGGTTGAGGAGGACCTGAATGGACAGGTCCCGGAGCCTCCAGGGACAGAGTCTGGCATGTTGCAGTTATTGCAGGTGGAGGCTGAGGTGCACAGGGAGAGTGGAAATATTTATATGGAGATTGAGGGTGCATCTAGGAAGAGAGCTGGAGGCTCGTCGGATGACGAGGTCATTACTCCAGCTCAGCGTTCTGGCAAGAAGACGTGGGCGGGAGTGACTAAGAAAGGGCAGGGTAGTGCACAGGGGGGAGGGGGTCCAGGGAGGCAAGAGTGTACAGGAGAAGACAGGAGCAATGAAAAGCGTAATAGACAGGACACAGAGACATATAGGAAAGCCCCCACTTCTGCATATTTAAGTGTCTAACTATAAATGTGAATGGCCTTAGAGCTGAAGTTGAATGTGTATGGTTGGAGGATGTTTTGCGGCAATTTGACATTGACGTGTGTTTTATTCAAGAACACAATTTTAAGTGTGGTAGAGAGTTGAGGCTGAAAGGTTTTAGGATGTATGCTGGTAGTTCAGGGTAAGTAAAGGGTGGGGTGGCAGTGGCAGTGAGGGAATCCAGCCCATTTCAAGTGCTCGTGTGGGAAGAGGGGAAAGGGGAGGGTGGTGAGGGTGGAGGGGCTATGTGGGGAGATTAGGGTGTGTTTTCTGAGGATATATATGCTGGCTGATAGTAACACACGGGTAAAGGTGAATTTTGTACGGGAGGTTTTGCTTTTCCATTTGTGGGGTTTACCCATGGTTTCTATAGTAGTTGGGGACTGGAACTGTGTAATGAGAAATAAGGGGCAGGGTGTATGCTTGGGATGTTTAGGGATTTGTTGAGGGAGGCAGGGGTTTATGACATAGTCAGGGGAGATGGGTGGAAAGTGGAGCACACGTTTATGCGGAGGGGTTATGCTGCCAGATTGGATCGCATATAACTCTTGAGATTACAGTAGAACGTGTGCTGACGGTAGACGTAGGTTTTTTGGACCGTCGTGCCAGTTTGCCAGAGGTGGCATGGGATGGTATGGTTCGCCGGTATGTGGGTTATTGGAAAATAAATGTGAGGTTACTTCAGGGGGAGGGGAAGGAGTTGTCATTCAGGGACTGGTGGAGGCAACTCTGGGAGGCATGCAACAATGAGGAAGATATATTGGGATGGTGGGAGAAGCACGCAAAACTGCGAATTAAGGAGTATTATTAGCATAGAGGATGGGAAGAGGCGCGGTGGAGGTTTGGTTTACAGAAATACCTTGAGGGGCAGCTCAATGATTGCTATGAAGGGGGCGGGGGTGGTAGGCATGGGAAAATAGAGGTTTTAAGGGGAAGATTGAAGGATATACAAAATTCTCATTTTGATGCGATACGTGTGAGGGAAGAGTTAGAGGAGGTACTATGGGGTGACAAACCGTCAGGATGTGTTTTGCGGAGGTTCAGGGAAAGACAGCAGATGACCACGATTATGGGATTAGAGGTGTGTAAAGGGGTGGGGGGATATAGGGTGGGGCAGGTACTAAGTACCACCGATGGAATGAGTAATTATGCTGATTATAGGTTTAGGGAGAATTTTAAGCAGGGGAAGGATGTAGGGAGGGAGGGGGAGATTATAGGGGAAGGAATTCGGGAAATTTTAGGGGAGGAGGAGAGAACGGTGCAATAGGGTAGGATCAGCGAGGAGGAGGTGGGGGAGGCAGTAATGAGTTTGAGTAGGGAAAAAGCGCCGGGAATTGATCGGATTCCTAACGATTTCTATATTGCACATTGGGATTGTATGAAGGAATGTCTGGTC